AGGGGCATTCGGATTTTTTCTTTAAATTCCATATCCAACACTCGAAACTAAATAGAGTGTTCGAAGGCAGAATTGTATCTTTTTAAAATTGGTTACCTGACATGGTAAATTTTAAAGACGTGAGGTCTCAATGGGCAATTTCTTGGAGCAGTCTTTACCAAAAATAGGGCAATTTGTTTGATTTAAGTACCAATTTGCCTCTTACTAGCTTTTACGAAACAAAATTTATAGTAATCGATGGTCTTAACCAAGAAATGCCATTAAATCCCTAAGGCACTTATGATACGAAATCGTTATTAAGACACAGTTGTAGCTTCTCTAGGAAAAAAATTAACATGCTTCTTCAGATGATGCCTTAACTAGGTTAATTTCTGCCTTCTGTCAAAATTTGCTGCTGAACACATGCACCTTTATTGGTAGTTTGCAGAGACCGTTTGAAAAACATTATTTTTGCTGGAATTCTACTAAGATAAAATAAAATAATAAAAAAAAATACAGCAAGCTGTTGATTCTTAATTCCCTCATCGAATGCGACCTGTAATTCCTATGGATCTGTTCCATATTTTAACACAACTGTTATTCGAGTCATAATTGGCTTTCAGATTTGAATGCCATGTGCCACAAGGGCTAATACTTCTAGCATTTCGTAACACGGAGCAACCTCAGCAAAGTGTCCTTAAGAGTTTCTCTAAACAATGCCAGATAGAGTGCAATCTAATTTATCAAGGCAGACATTCTCTGGGCAGACACAGCAGCGTTTCATTTGAATATTTGTGTATTCCAGCAATAGCTAGTAAACTAACATCTAATGTTGAGCCTCGAAAATAGGTCTTCTGCTAAATTCTAAGTTTGTAACTTTGATACGTTGCTGGGAGGAGCGAAGTGTTCGAAGTTAAAAGCTAAAGACGAAATAAAGGAGATGGAGTGTGCGTGGTTCTAGTTTAATTTAGATAACGAAATCAACATTGTCAACTAAAGATTTCGAACTGCCTAATTAATGAGTCACTTAAAATAGGCGATTAGATTAAGGACCTAAGCCTTACGTTGTGGTGGCTAATCAGATTGAAGTTTATTGATTCTTTGGCAGCATTTCTTCCCTAGTGTTAATGAGTTATATTTCAACGTATATACTTTAAATTATTTTAGGCGTGTTAATGATGTCTTGCTAATAAGGCAATGGTAAAAGCGTACATCTGGCTGCTTGCATTATACGTGCAAGTTGCATTACTGAGTCAAAAATAGGTGTTCAAAAATAATTTTACTGTGAATATGTAGAAAATATTAACGTTTTACCATTCTGAAGCACTGAAGATTCATGCAGCCTAGCCTGATATCTTCTTCTAACTACATTTGCTTAATTTTTAAGTAATATTTTTACTGACAATGCAAAGACACTTGCTCCTGGAAATTGACTAATGTGCAGAGAGACATAACACAAACCCACTTTCAGTTCAAAAAGCAAAAGCAAATAAAATAATTGCGTATATAGTTGCAAACACGAATTACAGCGAGGAGTTTAGAACATAAATCCAATCAGACATCAAGCTAATTTACGACCCAACTTTTACAACAAATACGTTGAGAATTTTGTTTAAACTCACAACTCTATTTAATACAGGAATTCTTCATTGTGTTAGTAAGTAAATTCTTTTATGTGTATTTGCGTCATAAGGCAAAGTTCAACTCAAATTTTTGCAATGTCGGTTAAGCCATATCCGCGAAATGTAATGTATTAAAAGTGGGCACAAGTGATCAGTTCAATGACTCCGACGCAAATGTTTTCACAAATGAGCTTTAGCCAGGAATCTTGCCTATAAGGGTAGATTTTTTCTATAAGTGTTGATACAATTGCGTCCTTTACAGTGATAATTTTAAATCACGGTAGCTTTACTTTGAATTACATCTCTATATAAACATTCACATCAGCCAATATGATGGTTTGATAAATACCAAAAATATCATTTAAGTAACACAAAAAGCCATTTGCAAAATTGAGAACATTTTAAATTGTGAAGAACTGGGAGCATCACTGAAATATTGTCCAATGGTTTGCCCATATTAATGCTCATATGCTGTAGTAACTGTGCTTATTTAATAGTTGCTGATTGTTCCAAGTAGTGAAATAAATGACTCCATTGGTGTGTGAAATTTAGGTTTTCATTAGACATGGACGAGAAAACTGCATGTTTAACTTTAGCACGCTCATTTAAAAATTAATTTTAAATATGGACTACTAAATATAGTAAAGAATGATGTTATTTCATCACACCATTACTTATCTAACTACTATTGCTTGACAATTTAAACATGCAGACTCTGTTCTGAGCCATTTCTGGGCTAAATGCCTCTTAGAACAAAATATTGCCTCAATTCTGGTCCAAACCTCATACGCATTATTGCAGAAGTTGACTCAATTGGCTAATGCTCTTCTTGACGACAAGCAAATGCAACAACCATGAATAATTTGTGCATAAACAGTTTGCAAAAACAAGTGACTCACATTGCATTAAGAATCAATAAACTTCAATCTGACTAGCCACCACAACGCTAGGCTTAGGCCCTTAATCTAATCACCCATTTCAAGTGACTCATTAATTTAGCAGCTTGAAAACTTGTGTTGACAATGTTGATAACGTGAGCGTTATTATGCAAGAACCACACAAACGCGACCTCCCTTACTTCGTCTTCAGCTATTAACTTCAAACACTTCGTCCCTTCCAGCAAATGATTAAAGTTAGAAACTTAGAATTCAGCAAAAGACCAATTATCGGGGCTGAACATTCGGTGTTAGTTTGCTAGCCATTGCTGGAATACACAAACATGAATCAGTTGCTACTGTGTCTGCTGAGAGAGTGTCTGCCTTGATAAATTAGATAAAACTCTGTCTGGCATTGTTCAAAGAAACTCTTAAGGACACTTTGTAGAAAGGTGGGTCAGGTGCTGAGATAGCACCGTGTTAAGAAATCCTAGAAGTATTAGTCATTGTGGCACATGGCATTCAAATGAGAAAGCCAATTATGACTCAACAGTTGTGTTAATATATTGCACAGATCCAATGGACTTATAAGTCGTATTCGATTAGGGAATTAATAATCAAAATTTTAATTGTTTTATTATTTTAGTTTTTCTTAGTAGAAGGCAGCAAAACGCTTTTTGCACCATACGGTCTGATCCTGTAAACTACCAATAAAGGTGCATAAATTCAGCAGCAAATTTTGACAGAAGGCAGAAATTAACCCAGTTAAGGCATTATCTGAAGAAGCATGTTAATTTTTTACAAAGAGCAGCTACAACTGTGTCTCAGTTACGCTTTCATATCATGAGTGCCGTGGGGATTTTAATGCATTTCTTGGTTCAGACCATCGATTTCTATAATATTGGTTTCATAGTTATTAATTGGCAAATTAGTACTCAAATCAAACAAGTTGCCCTCTTTTTAGTAATGAGTACTCCAAGAAATTGCCCATGGAGACCTCAGGTAACCAATTTTAAATAGATACAATTCTGCCTTCGAACACTCTATTTAGTTTCGAGTGTTGGATATGGAATTTAAAGAAAAAATCCGAATGCCCCTATGCGATCCATCCCTTTATTTTACATAAACAAATTCTCTGCATTTTGTTGTGAATTCTTGTGTTGAATAGCTATTTGATCCTACTCTATTGCATGTCTTTGTACAGAGATTTACCCCTAGATATCATTTGTTGCCATTACGTCTTCGCCTTACAGCCATTTTCACATCTAACATAAGACCTAATATATCTAAAGCGTAACAGAAACTGATCTGTCTGCAATGCAGTTTCGTAACTTTATCTAGGTGTCAAGTTTGTTGGACATGCGGAAAATTTATATTCAACGAATATATTTGTCTAGAAAAGTTGCGGGACTTTAAAGTCTACAATCACCCTCAATTCCGAACGCAACAAATTCAGTGCGTCAATTTGAATACAAATAAAAGGAAATAGGCCTGCTTGCAGGAACTGCTCCTAGCTTCACACAGTCGTTCCAGATGGACAGCTTTTGCAATAAAAACATGAAATTGAATGCTATGTCTGGCTTAACGCAAAAGGTTTGACCGAAACTCTCAAAACAAGGCGATAGGGGAGAGTTACAACAATGAAAAGAAATCACATTTTGTAGCAATGGATTTATTATGTCAAATAAATGTGGATTTTTAGCGTCAGAAATGTTATGCATTTTTGTTAAATTAGAAATTTGTCATTTGTGAAGGATGTTATAGGATAAAGGAGAAATACGAATCGAAGTGTTTCTGAATCATGATATTAATGGGAGATAGCATTGGAACTCCAAACAGCTCAATATCTCGAACATTGGTTTCGATTGCAGCGGTGTTCTCTCAAACACCGGGTACAGCTGGGGCCTTCAGTATATGGCTTTCCATTACGATAGTTCCCACTGAAACGTGTGATAGTAAAAATGGGTTTGAGAACGAGGTAAGCAATAACTGCGTCGTGCACACGCCCAGAGTTCAAGAAGACAGACTCACCTTGCTTTGTACATACAAGCCACGAGATGAACCGGTTTGCGCGGAGTCGTCTGTAGGTTGTCACAGCGATTTATTGCACAGCCCAGTAGATTTGTCCATCCCCACACCATCTGTAGAGTAAAACGTCGTCATAGTCAATTGCGAGAGGCATACACATCAGAAAATAATGACATCGAATTCAATGCGTGTTCTTGGCAAGGCAACTTAACAAGCCACAATTTGAACCCAAACCTGAAGTCTAAATTAGATGGCAGAAAAGGTTTTTACTCACCCTAGTGTAATGGTCGCAATTGCCAGTGCAGGTGTTATTGGCATAGACATAATTTTTTCGTTCTTTGATCCACCTGCGAACTATTTTCGTCAAAGTGGGCTTTTTGCCCACTACCTTTTCGTAGTTCAGCCCAACACGTGCGTAATCCGGATCAGCTGACGCATCTGGCGCTTCAAGTGTGCATTGCGACACCCATTTCTCCGCTAATCTCTCAACCATGGGGCAGTATACCTGAGTGCAAACAAGGTATTAAGGAACACAGAATCCGAGTGCAATTAAGTACCTGAATTGCCCAAAGCTGCATTGGCAATGTCATTTTTAGGAACTCTTAATAGCCGGGTCTTCTAAACACCTCTCACTTAGAATATTTACTTCTCATTTCAAATGTGCGTGATTTCATGCACGTATTTGGTATAAATTTACGCATGCAAGTGCAGGCACCTCGCATTACTGTGACGGGCGGGTTGCGCAAACAAAAGTATGTAGATTACTAAGCACCACTATTATTAACGCCTACATGGTAATTTAACAACACAAACCTGTTTATTTAAATTGTGCACACAATGCTTGCGCATTTATCTAAGTAAATGGAAAGAAGAGAGTACTGATATTACTGACGTACAATGTCCAACTGATGATCAGCTATTTACATAGGTCATTTGTGTACTAATTCATGGCTACATTATGAATAAATTCACGAAATGAGCTGACAAGTACCTCGCATTATAGTGATTGGGGAGTTGTGGTAATTAACCTATTCATATTTCTCTGCCCTACAATCCCATTTACTTCAGTGACAAACACTGTGTCTATGCATCTAGCTGCGTAAAGTAAAAAAACGGAGTTGTAATCGCGGTGAGGTAAACAGTTAAATTGCATATAAGCAATTTGCGTAGGCTGACGTACCAACTTGAGCATGTCACGAGCTGTCGGCTTTACTCGTTCGCGTAGTTTTGTGTGCAGTTCAAGAATTTCATCACGTTCTGCACGTGACGGAGCTTCTGCCGCCGCATATGATATTACCACCAAGAGACAAACAAACTTGTACATTGCTGCTACCAAGTAATATGAACGACAAAGTCAGTGTTACCGTAAATGACGAGACCGGGATGTGGAGATTGAAGAAACTAGGTTGAAGGGCTCTATTAATATAGTGTATCTTTCATCCAATGGCAACTGAATTTGAATATTTTGCAATTAAAATTTAATATGTCAATTAGGTTGTGTTTTGTAACTTGAGTAATAGAAATGAGTTTTAATAGACTTGCATACCGTGGGAAATCTTGGGGCAAAATGGATGTGTTTTTGTGTTACGATTATTGACAAAGTTTATTGCTGTAGACATTATTTGCTACAGATGCCCACAAACAACAGCTAAGAGGAGAGGAAATTTTTTTAGGTTTATCTTGTAGAAAAAAAAACCTTTAATATGCATGTGCAATGATACATTATTTGTCATAAAATGCTGATCTAAAAAAGACGTGCGTGCGGATAGCATTTTGTTCTATAAATGGTCATTATTTTAGTGGTAATGAACCATACTTACTCTTTTCCACGAATCTGATGAATGGCACTAAAATGAATTGCTGGTTCTGAGAACGTTGACTCAGGTTGTGCATTTTGCAGCATGCTGATTTGTAATATTGAACGCAAAGACCGTAAACGACAATAAATCTTTGGTTCCAACCTAGAAAAATGTATATTTTTTAACAAGCGTTTACCGCTTGCGTGGACGAAATGTTGGCTTGCTCACAAAATCCTGTTTTAGTGGTCAGTTAATGGGAAGGTTTCAATTGCACCTGGTCATCTTGGGTACGAAAGGCGTCAGACAGATCAAATGTTTTACAAATTTGCATACCAAATCGGTGCTATTTGGGGTGCTTTTTGGTTTAAACAAATGCCTTTTCACACGTAATGTTATTTTAGCACCAACAAAGAATGAATAAGATAAATTCAGAAAAAAATACTTCACTGGGACAATTCACAATGCATCGATGATTGCATTAGACTACAAAGATGCAATTGGTATTCATAAACTACTGTCTGGTATTCAGTAAAGAACAAAATCCAATCGTATTTAATATATTTTAATGATATATCTGTGCTTTGAATAAGATATCATTTTTTTAAAATTACAAAATGTCGCCTTCAGAACTGACAAGGATTTGTCAACTAGTGTCTACCTACTTTTGTTAATGTCGTTGCGTAAAATGACAATGCATTAGTTGGCAAATTAATGCATATTTACTGATTGTGAATGCAGATATAATTTATGGCAACAGTACAGAACATGCCTTTTAAATGCATTCGATGTGTTCAATTTAATTTAACACAATCCAGTTTAGTTCCTGACGCAAAGCCGTTGTGATGTTTCACTGACACTATGCAGAGATAATAGTCACGATGGCTAGTGCAAAGTTCTTTTGGCGCAATATCTTCAGTGGTTGTTGCATTTTATTTACGTAGTCAGCCTTGCTGTTTTGAAGTCATTATGGATACAATCTGGGGTTGCATTCAGCAACAGCCGAACAAATATTACTGGATTTAAAATTACGAGCAAAAGAGATCCCATGATTTTTCATGTCTTTGGTGTTAATGTAACATTGCTGCATCGTGTAAAGAGTGAGGACATGAGTCGCAGTCATCAAATATACTTTCTTCAAGCGTTATCAGGGCTGTGGTGTTAAAACACTAAAAGGTGTTTAAAAAGTAACGCCTAGCTTGAATAGATAGAAGAATGCTGGTGTTAAGCACTGCGTAAGTCAACAAAGTATCCAATTCCGGCTAAGCAGCATTTGCTACCATATTTTCCATCCCAATAAAATCCCACAAATGTTTTTTTTGGCGTTCATTGACATTCCATGAACAGTCCTATGCAAACCACTTTGGTTTAAACTTAAGCGACAATCTCTAGCAAGTAAATTGGTGCACACATTAGTACGATGTTGTAGTTGTTCATAAAAAATGTCGTCAGATATTGCGACTTTTGCCATTTTCTAACGCCAGTCCATTCGGGCACAATCTATGTGGCGTAAACTAGTTGTTTTTCAAATGGAGTTTGATTAGAGTGCTGTTATGTTTTTTAACTTCAGAAACGATTATTCCTCCTCAAGTGCGTCTCCCAAATGAAATTGCAAACAACGCGCAAGGATCTGCTGAATTTCTAATTTCATCGGCATTCAAGGGTATTTCAAGGTTTCATCTACACAAATAGACCATAATCCATTTCCACAAGCATTTGTTTTGTGCATTTTTCGGTTTATTAAACAACCAAACCATGGCTAGCAGAAAAATATTACAGCCAAATTGAATTCCACAATGCAGAAGTAATCCGTTCAGCTAATGTGTGTGGTGGCAATCATTATTGTGCTTTTAAGTCCACTTGCCAGTAGAAATCATAACGAACAGTTATAGCCAAGAATTCCACTTTCTTATAATGCTACACATAGACAATCTGCGATAGCTCATTTGAAACCGGAAGTGTATTTCTTGGTTAGATATTTGTTTTGTCAAATTTCGTTTTTAATATTACATCGAACACAATTAATTTTATAGTGTGTTGTTGAGAGTCTATTCTGCAGAGAGGAATTAGTTTTGGTTGCTGCTGTGAATTTCTCAGACCATAAAACTGGTTTGTTTACGTTCTTCTAGCAAAATCACTCTGTGAATTTTAGGAAATCCAGTTTTAATAGTCTTGTGATACAAATATGGCATGAAATTTTTAGGTGCACACAACTTAAAATTTTTGACGGGTGCTATCCTTCATGCATTGCATGTTTAAAAAATGGCTTCCCATCCTGGCTGTACCTAACGCCAATGAAAACATTCTCCTGTGGAAAATCAGCTTACTGCATATTACAGGCTATGTTACTGCGTTTGATAAGCGCGAAATTAAACAAGTACATGTTTTTTTAAGAATGCAAGTAAAAGGAATATTAACCATCAGGAACTATCCGGAAGGATTCCTTCGCAGTTACTTAAAGAAACGTCGGTGCACCAGATTAGATCTAAATGGATTAGATATCAAGGTGCCCATTATCAAATCCTGTTTGTCATACCTTTTTTTACGTATTTTACTAGTCATATACATCGTCGCTTGACAGATACATTTTATGCTTGACATTGTGGTAGATTGCATATCCTTGGCAATAACGAAATGGAACTGTGTAACAATCATACCTTCGAAACGCCTAGTGGTACTTAGCAAATTCCAAATGGTACATGAAAGATAACCGGGTAAAAAATATGCACTAATCTCTAACAATGGCCATTTTTACGTATTTGATCATAACCGTTAAGAAAATATTTTTTTTTTCAAACTCTTTTAGTTACAATCAGAAAATGTCCACATTTTGGTGACCATAGGTAAGAACTTTAGACACAATTGTATGTGCATACATTCTCAGAGTCACGATTTGATCTAAAACAAGGTACCTAGACAAGATTCAATGTGCAATTAAAAAAACTAGTTAAATGAAATAATGTGTCACCAACATAGCTCTAAATGCATTGAAAAGCGCCGCAAGTATGTGGCATTCAATTTGTGCTTTTTTATTCAGCTTCACGATATTGGCCTGTCGATTCGTACGTTGAGCATACCTAGCCATAACCAGGTTTCAGCTGCAATTGTGCCTAAGTGGACCATCGATTTCGGGTAAATCTTCAGAGTTGGCACTGTGGAAATACTATTCTTCGGCCGTGACTGGCGTCAAATCATCTTTGGTGAGTTCAGGCCAATATTCCAATCGCGTTGCCTTACCAACTTTTATAGGATATCATTACCTAAAATGTTTTTGGTTCGTGGACAACATCGAGTTGCAATTTTGGCACATTGCATGAGAGCCGACTTAGTTAACCGCCAGCAAATCTTAACTAGGGCAAAGTAAGTCACACTACGCACAGTGATAAAGGTGCAGTCAGTGCTGTACCCACCTAGTAATGAATCGTAAAATCGCCTATCATCATGATTAACTTAAGTGTAATTATTAAACATATATTTAACAAACAATTCAGATCTGGTGAGACATGTTGAAGTCTAAGAGCTGGGTATTTCTCGAGTCGAATCTGATAATAAATGGTAGACTTCGTTTTAATCAGACAGAAGAAATAAACACTTTGCAAACAACTGCTTCTTGGTCAACAAACTTCAACTCCGGGACAGTACGACTGAGTACGTATAAAGTATTAAGGAAGATAGAAAGCGAATGCAGTGAAGTAAGTGAAATCCTCATAGCTGCACTAGCAGCATCATTTTTAGAAAAATATTCTTGGCGGATTTTTTACTAACCTATCTCTCAGACTACGCACTTCTCATTCCACTAGTGTGTGATTTCACGCACAAATGTACCATAAATATTACACAGGAACCTTAGAAGAACCCTGCTTTATTGCGACATGTAAGCTGTGGTAAGGAACGGATTTATGTTTCTATGCGCTACAATTATTCAAGTTTACGTGTTCTGTTAACAGGTTAACCAAATTTGTATCTGTTGTAACCACAACGCTTCCGCTGCTATTCAGGCAAATGGAAATAACGCATCATCAATTGTCGTCTTGTAAATAAGCTATCAAGATTGGTTGGTGTGCCAACTTGAGCATGTTGCTCGCGGTCGGTTTTACTCGTTGGCGTATTTTTGTGTGCACCTTTACAATCTCCCAACGTTCTTCTTGTGACGGAATTTGTGCCATTGCACAAGATATTACCACAGGAAGAAAAATAAACTTGTACATTTCTGCCAGCAACGTATATGAACTACAAAGACAGTGTTGCCGTAACTGTGTAGATTTTTGTCTTAGACGACACCAGGATATGAAGACTAGAGAAATTAGGGCGAATAACAGTATCATTATAGTTCATCTTTCAAATGATATCTAACGAATTATAATATTTTGCAATAAAATTTAAAATTTCAATTGCCACGTTTTTCGAATAACGCGGCAATAGGAATTAATTTTAATTGCCTTGCTTAATGTGGGAAAATTGTACGGCAAAATAAATGGGTTGCAGTGCCAACATTTTAGAGAAAGCTTATTGCTATAAATATTGTTTA